TCTTCCGATCTTTTGCTTTTCAAAATCAATTTAGCTGTCTACCTCCTTCATATTTCAATATATATTTAAGAATCAGCTTTTCACTTTCTGCAAGAAAGCCTGTCGCGGGCGCCCCCACCGCGCGGCCGGCGGCCAGGGCTGGGCCCGATAACGGAGCCATGCAGCAGCCCCCGCAGCGGGGACCGGGCCGGCTACCGGCCAGCCTGGCCCGGCGCCGCGTCCTCCCCGGCCTCAGTTTCCCCGTTTGTACAGTGACCCGCGCTTCTCGGCCTAGCTCTGCCGTGACACACTTAGAAGGGCCCAAGACCGGTCTGGGCGAAGCCCGGACTCCTGCTTCCACTGGTGGGCTTCCAGAATGTGCCCCACGTGCGCACAGCCCTTGCTGGCCGGCTGGGGGAAGCAGCCAAGAGTGTCCTAAAAGGCCTAATCCAAGGACCCTGCCAAGGGAGTGATCCTCTGGAGGGACTGCAGGATGAAAGCCAGTTCAAGCTGGGCCCAGAAGGATGGGAGAGGGGGACGTGGTCCTTCGTCCTCATGCTGGCAGCTGCAAAAGTGGTGACAGGGAGGAGGGGGCATACCTGGCCTGGTGTACCCCCCTGAGCTGGGTGCAGACACCACAGAAGGAACTGCCTCTGTGTGTTGCGGGGATACTAGGGCTGTGACAGCTGAGACAGCCCAGGACCCTCCCTGCTGGACTCACTGGCTCTACAGTCCACGGGGTGACAGCCAAGGGACTGCCCCAGAGGCAGGGGGCTCCACAAAGCCTCGTCCTGTGAGCGGGACGCAAACCCCTCCCTCCTGCAGATTCACAGGACACTGCCAGTGACTCCCACCCAGACCCTTCCCTACAGCCAGGAGTTCCTCCAGCGACGGCCCCTCCCCCCATCCCAGACGCCCAGAGTTGATAATGACCCTTTTGTGAAGGGAAGACTCTTGTGAGTTACCTTCCTGGCACTGGTAAGTAGTGGGGGGGAGTGTCATTTTGTTTTTCATCCAGGGTCAGAGTTCAGCTTGGGGCTGGAGGGACATAGTCAGAGGCAGGTTCAGCCCGGCCTAGTGCCCAGGATGGAGTCTGCAGCCAAAATTGGGGCTCAGTCCCAGCCTCTTGGTGCTGACCAAGAGAAGGACACTCCTCAGAGAAGGACTCTCTTCCCCTGCACAGGGGGCACTCACTCCTCAGTCAGGGGACTCCCAGTTCCTGCCTCTCCCCTTGGCACCTCTGCTCCCCAGCCCAGCTGTCACAGCTTGTAACCCGAGGCAGGGCCCTGCCTCCAGGAGGCCATGTCAGAGGCCCTGTCAGTCTGTGCTGCTCAAGCCAGATGCCCGACCCCAGGGCTGCCCCCAGAGCCTGGGCATCTGACCTCTGTCCATCACTCACCCAGTAAACCTTCCCCATGGGCCACCTGGGACCCCCTCTGGGACTGTCTCACCTGCCCACTGCTCTCCCAGGAAGGATTCTCTGTGCTCACCCCCCATCCCCATCCTGGGCTATCCATCCATGCTATGAGAAGGTGGAGGGGAACTCCGGGGAGGAAACAGAGGACCAGAGGGGCACGGAGCAGGGTGGCTGGCAAGTGGCTGCTGGAGACTGGGAGGGCGCCCTCTCGTGGAAGATACGGCGACTCCCCAGGCTGCTCTCACGGTGGTCCAAAACCCAGCTTACTCTCCAATGGCCCATCTGCCTGCTCCAGCAGGGTCGTGAGCCCGCAACCCATCCCGTGCAGCTCCCAGTGCTGTCTCTGCCTCTGCGTGAGCCTGCCCTCCCCCCGAGGCTGGTGTCTCCTGGTGGGAAGACCACCCCCCTCTCCTCTGGCCTCCTGGGGCTGGGAAAGCAGAGCTCTTTCTTTGGGAAACAACCCCCTCTCCCCTCCAGACAGAATGACAAGGAGAGGATCCAGCTCCATGGCCCACCCTGGCCACTGATGGGACTGCTGAAGCGCTCCTTAGCCAGATGTTTCCAACAAAAACTGCTGCACCCGGCCCCCAGGGAGGGTGCGCCACCTGCCCCTCCTGGGCCACAGGGGCCTCCTACTCTGTCACCTTCTGCAGCTGCCGGCCGGCCGTAGGGCAGGACTTGAGGACTGGTGCCCCAGGCTGCATGGTCTCAGCAGCAGCTGCAGGGCGGGGCCTTGGGGCAGCTCCCAGGCCAGATGGCCACCCGCGTCTGAAGAGACTCTGCCCACATCATTGCCACTGCTGACTGTGGCTCTGTGACAGCCTCCTGTCATCCCTGTGCCTGAGACTGCACGGGCCAAAGAGTTGATCCGAGGGCCACAGGCCAGCTGGGCTCCCGGCACCAGCTATGGGCTGCCTGGGACAGCCCCTCTTCCCAGGGTGGTGGGGGGCAGCAAGGACTTGAACTCAGACCATCAGACCCAAGAGTCACAGGGGGCCTCTCTCCCAGTGCTGGCCCCAGCCCATGTCTAGCTGTGCTGGCCTTCCAGGCCCAACCCCAGGCTCCTGCAGGCTGGGTCCTGACGTTTTCCAAGCCCCAAAACTTCTATCAGTTCCCCAAGGCTCCCTTTATCCCACCAGCCAGGGAGGGCAGGCAAGGGCCCTCACTCCCACCTGGAGTGGGGAGCTGTCAGCCCGTAACCCAGAGCCATCCTCCCCTTCCTGCCTCGGGGGGCTTGGGGATGTGGTCTGGGGAACCACAGAGGAGCTGGGATTAAGGACGATGGGACTAATGGATATCAGTCACAGAAGCCACTGTCATGCATTCACTCAACAGACATTTACTGAACCCTACTTTGTGCCCAGCCAACTTTCAAGCACCAAGGATACAACAGCAAACAAAACAGAGCAGGCAAGAGACAGTATATCCATGATCACATGACATAGGGTGTGCTGGAAAAGGCTAGGGCCAGAGAGGAGGGTGGGCAGCGGGGTTGGAAGAGGATCTTAGCTAGGGCAGTTAGGAAAGGGAAGAACATTCCAGAACCTGAGTGACCAGCAAAGCAAAGGCCCCGAGATCTTGCTGTGGGCTGGGCCCTGCAGTTAATTTTCACAAAGAAGACCCTGAGATGCAACCTTGTTCCCATTTTGCAGATGAGGATTAAGATTCAAAGAGGTTACGGGTCATGGCCAAGGTCAGGAGGAGCCAGTGGCAGGACTCTGATCCAGGCGGTCTGGAAGGGGCCAGTCACATCTGGGTTCACCCCAAACTAACTTGAATTCAGCTCCCCCTGCTGGGGGCTGGGGGAGGGGAGATTGTTATTTAAGTGGGTGGAGGGAGGCAGGATTTGGGAGCCAGGGCTCTGCTGCCCCTGGGCTGGTCTTTGTGGCTGTGAGTGACGTGTGAGTCCAGGGGTCCAAGCTGCACTTGCCAGGTTTAGGATATAAAAATGCAGGACGTCCTGTCAACTGTGAATTTCAGGTAAACAAGGAGTAACTTTTTACTACTACAATGTGTCTTTCCTTCCCACCGACTTTAGATTCTAATGCCAGTGAGCTCCAAGGCCTCTGGCAGCCGCTCAGGCCCCCACCCCACTGGGTTTGAACAGGACCCCTGGAGGAACCCCCCATCTCACACTGGGCACTCTGTCCTCCCGGACACTTGCTCCTCTTGCCCGCCTGGCGAGGGTCCCAGCCTTTGTAATCCAGCCCGTCCCCCTCCACACCCTCCAACTCCCTGCGGCTGGCTGTGCAGCCTGGGAATTCGGAATGAGACTCCCCACTTCATCCCCCCTACTGCCTACCTAACCGCCATCACCAGGAGGTATAAAAATAAGAGCATCTAATTACCGGGGTGTTGGGAAGATGATCTGAGCAGTGGGCCAGGAGCGCCTCCAAACCTGCTCGGTAAAGGGCAGCCCCTCTAGGTCGAGCCCCTGGGAAAAGAGGGACCCCAGCTCCTCCACACTCATGGCTCTATTGCTCCCAGAACTAGATTTCCCCTCTCACACCTCAGGATGCGCCTTCCACCTAGAACGCTCTGCCCCCAGGATGTCAACCCTGGCCGCTCTTCCTGCCTGCCCTGGGCTCTGGAGGAGCTTCGGCCTCCTTCCATTAGGGCATTTGTCTCCCCCGTCCCGCGACATCGGCTGGGACGTGCGCTGTTCCCCGCGCCTCTCCAACCACAGCTCAGTTCGCCGGGTCCCCAGTAGACGCTGTGCTAGGGTCTGCTGCGAGAGTGGGAGTCGCCTGTCCTGGACTCCAAGGTCGAGACCTCCCGCTGGAGAGCTCGGAAGTGGGTTCCAACTAAATTAACTTAAATTCAGAACGAGGCTTTCAGGGAAGAAGCGGGTATTATCTTTTCAAAATTTACGACACCCTCCCGGATTCCCCTCCCCCATCCCAGGGCCGGCGCCCTAGGAGGTGGCAGGAGGCCAGGGTCCCCGCTGCGCCCTCGAGCGACTCGGAAGGGGTCCCTTTGCAGACGGTCGCCCTTGGGACCCCATGGGGCGGGCCACCGAGGCCGAGGCGGCAAGGACGGCTGGACAGCCACCCCCCGCCGCGGGCCCCGCACCCCCGCCCTCCCAGCGCCTTCACTGGCCGGGTGGGGCGGGCAGGGAAGGGGTGGCAAGGGTGACCTCAGCGGTTCCGCCGCTCCGGGAAGTCGCCTCGGCCCGCCCC